CCCATTATACTTATACTTTTCGGTCTTGGAATGTTTAAGACTACAAACCGGTTTTTATGGAAAAATACAGGATTTTCTAGGATAAACATCATTATTTTACAAATAAACTGTTTACAATTTGACTTTCTAAAAACAAATACGATTACTCACCGAAAACAATGCTTTACAATAAAGCGAATGGAACTAGGAACATTTTTACAAAAGATTCAGTACTTATTTACAAACTAGTTTAACATAAAGGACCCTTAATTGTTAATTCTATGATTCTTTAGCGTATACATCAGAGTTATATATAAATAATATCCGATAGGCAGTGGAATGTGTGATTTCCGCCTTTCTTCCTGTTCCTTGTTTGGTTGTGAGCTTAGGGCAGAATCTCCCAATCGACTGTCCGTTCGATCTTAATTATATATAATTTGTATACACTAAATAATCATAGGAGGTAACAGATCGAGTCATACCAAATACATGAGTCAGAACCTCGAATCACAGGTTATAAACATAAGAAACTTATACTTTTTGGTCTCAAAGTACTAAGACTAGCATTTATTTACTAAGAAAATATTGGATTTTCTGGAAGAACACATTAACGTTTTAAATAACAAAGAACATATATTTTCCAACAAAATACGTATGAACTCACCAACTTTAATGTTGACAATTTTTTCCAAACCACTTGTATTCTCAGGAAAGTTAGTAAACAGGCACCCTCTCAGGCGTTACTAAGACGGAGTATAGAAGCATTACGTCTCATCTTTTGCTATAGTTTTAATGTTAAACAAGTAATGAACACAATGTAAATACTATGTTATTAATACAATGATTGTTGTTACATTGATTACTAATATACAATTGTTGTGATACTGTACATGACGTCCTCCACCCCAAACGTTTCCGCCGTTCCGGTTTGGGGTTGTGACAGTAAAAAGATTTATATCATTATTTTTTCTTTTCCTTCTAATGTCTTTGTTTCTTAGTTTCCATTCCATGTTGTAGGGACTGGATCTTCTTGTTTTATGATATAAGAGGAATTGGTTGAAGCTTGTCTCTCTATTAATCATGCTGAGGACATTATTTTCGCTGTAAATGGCAAGAAATTTAAGTTGTTCGATGGATTGTTGATTTTTCGCGATCACTATCTTTCTGCCGAAGTCAATTTGCGAGTTGATGAAGGTATGAAATTGGATGGTGAGGAAATGTTATTCAAAGCCAGGAAAACTGCATGTTGGGTTATTCGACCGGTGTCGTGTGGCTTCAGAAAGGATAGTTCCATTGGAAAGACAACGGTCGCTCTTGGAAGCTGATTATGAGGCGTGTCTTCAGGAGAACCAGGTTCTTCGGGCTCAGCTTGTTGCTAGATCTTTGTAAACCTTACATCATGGGTTGGTTATGCTCCTCCTTTTTGTGTAACTGAAAGCGTCTGAACTGTGGTTGCTTGCAACCGTAACCAATTTGTTTTTCTTTTTCCTGTTCTTTGCCACCCTATTTTTTTGTGTACTTGATAACTACGATGATCCTTTTGATGTTCTATCCATATAGCTCATATTTTCCTTGCTAGTCTCGCGTGCTTGACTGCACTTGGAATCGTGTTGATATCCACTCAGACGGTTTTTGAGGTTCTTATTGTTAAGTATATTGGGGTCGTACTTTATTGGGATATTGTTTTACTTCTTATACGCAATGTATGTTCTTGCGTGATTGGGTGGGACTGTGTCTACTAGGTTGTCCTTTTTATTGTGCATGTTATATTGCATTTGAATATGCTATGGTATGAATTAGATCAAGACTTGTAAAAATTCAACAAATCGAACAATTTGTTAGTTTGTTCACGGAGTGCCTCATGGGCATTGACGAACAAAATTTATTCATTTTCACCATTTACTGCTTCACGCCTCACCTTAAGAAAAACAGTGTGAAACTGCACTGCAACTGCGTTTATATGTCTCCATTTGGAGAATAGTTGATCTCTACTTCGACGTCAACCAGCTTCGCGGTGGTATCTTTCGCTGACTCTACTCCAGAAAATAAATGCATCGACGTTGATGTTGATTGGCTTTTTAGTTACATCGATCCATGAACGAGCCAATATGATTTCTTCATCCGTCCAAACATGAGCCATTTTTTTAGAGATGAAATTTTGAATAAGACGGAAAATAAAATGGTTAGAAGAGTTGAATGAAGAAGGTTTGAATGTAATGAAAAATAAAAGATGATGTTAGTATTTATAGTAGGGGAAAATGACTTGTAAGGGTAAAGAATTATTAGAATTGTAGAAAAAATACCATTGAACTTTTTTGGTACACATATCGCCAACCAACTATGATGTTTGTACACGTATGACCATTAAACTTTACATTTGTTCAAAAAATATCATTATGTTACCGGTAATAGTAGGTCACCAACCGTGTGGACGCTGACATGGATTTTATTGTTTATTATGTACATATTATACCATTAAACTTTTTTTTGTACACATAATACCAATAAACTTTTCTTTGTACACATTTTACCATTAAATTTTTTTGTATATATTTTACCATTAATCTTTTATAATTTATTCAAAAAAAAATATCATTTCAAAAAATACATATTATTACATAAAAATTGATTTTCCATCACCTATTGTTACTCCCAGATTTTGTAAGGTTTGGGGCAGAGGGTTCGCCTTTGACCATGGTTCAATCGTTTTGATGGTTCGATCATCGGTAGTTCTTGACTGCTCCTTCGCAAGACAAGAAGTACACTGGTCACCTCAAGTACAACTCATACACTTACCTTCCCAATGGCCAACTGTTAAGCTTTCTCCCCAAGAAATAAGGTACATCCGATTACACTATATATATATATATATATATATATATATATATATATATATATATATATATATATATATATATATATATATATATATATATATATATATATCAAGACACATCTAAAGCTAAGTTCTACTTCTTTCTCTACATACATACAATCGGGTTCCGTCCACTCGAAGGACCCGACCCCCATTTTGCATCAATACTAACTTCATTGTCGGAGGCTGCTCTCGGGACGCAAGTCCGGAGGCAACTCTAATGGTCCTCGTTTATGAATGTAACAAGAAACAAATCGGGGCTCGCTAGCAGCATCGAAGCACACATCCGAGTTCTCAATTTGATCAGCCTCGTGACTATTTTTCGGGATACATCAATATGTATTTTTTGAAATGATTTTTTTTAATAAATTATATAAGATTAATGGTAAAATGTGTACAAAAAATTTTAATGGTATAATGTGTATATAATAAACAGTAAAATCCACATCAGCAGCCATATGGCTGATGACCTACTATTAGCGGTAACGTAATTGTATTTTTTGAACAAATGTGAAAATGGTCATAAGTGTACAAACGTTATAGTTAGTTGGCAATATGTGTACAAAAAAAAGTTCAATGATATTTTTTGTACATTTTTGATACTTCGTTACCATTATAAGTCATTTTCCCTAAGAACATGGCAAGCTAAGTTCATTCATTCAGAACTGGCAAGCACCCGGAAGCACTAGACCAATAAGCTAGATCTCCCTATGGGGCATTGCACGTTTAGCCAGACCGCTCCGCTCGTGCTTCTCCTTGCGTCTTGCACTAGAACAGGGAAATCGCTACTAAAGCACTTTCTCTCATGAATTGAAAGAGTTCTATCTGGGTCAAAATGCTACGGCTTACTTATACTCTTGCAAGCAAGGCAAGAAGCGATTCTCTTAGCCGACTTTGGGGATCGATCACCACAAGAAGGAGCTACACATGAAGAATGGCAAGACATAGAAAGAAGGGGTTCTGTACGAATGCCCTGTTGAGGAAGAGAAGGGGTTTGAGAAGAAGGTCTTCTTAAAAAGGTTAAAATTTGAAATTTGAAAAGACATGGTTATATTTTAAAAAATGTACTATTTGTTTTTTAAATTAGCGTATGTGTTTACAGTGGTAAAAAAACAAAGCCTCAACGTCTCTCTCTCTCTCATCGGTATCGAAGTGCCGAATTCACCCACCGAGTTTGGCATGTCGAGTCCATTTCACCTCCGCCGAGCCTTTGTGGAGACAAATCCACGTAGCTTAACGGTATTTTTTGATCACTAAAAAATTCAATAACAAATAGTGTAAAAATATGATTAAACATGTTCTAAATCATTATTCATTTATTTTAAAGCTATTGGCGGTCATTTTACACTAAAACAACTTCTATTTCACAAATAGTTTGCTGATCTTAAAATAAATGAAATAAAAGTGTTTTTATTTGTTTTTCGACAACCAGATGTCCAAAAATATTACTATTTGTTTCAAAGTACAATGAAACTATGGAAGTGGGTCAAGATTGAAAAGTGCCGGGTGTGTGGTAATGACGTGAGGAGAGTGATATAGCAAATCCACCCTCACCCAAATTCAACCAATTGCATTACACCTTTCTACTCCCCTTTCATTCATTTCTTATCTCCATTATCTTAGCCAATCCCATTCTTTACTCAAACTACATCTACACCCCCTAACTTCTTATACAATCACAAATGGTGAAATTATAAAAAGCAAATATATTTCACCCTTTTTTTATCTAGTTAAATGATTAATCCTTTTAATTATCATACATATATTATCAATATGTAATTTTCAAATACAAACGGTTGTGCTAATAGTATTTGTACAATTTTAATGACAATTAACAAAAGTTATGGTTTCATCACTAAGATAACAATAGTGAGTCCAAAAAACATAGATCAATATATTATATATTGTAATTTTTTTTGTTGCTATTATATATAATTCCCATATTATAAGAATATTTCCTCTTAAAAGAAGATATTTAAATAAACTAGTTAGAAGGACTGAATAGTATTATCTTCATATCTTAGGGGTGTAATTGAAAATCATTGTCATCATTCCTAGTTCTTATTCTACTTGTAACGACCTCCTTTCTTCCCTTTGATGTCATAAACCCCCCTTTTTACTCTCTCTCTCTCTCTCTCTCTCTCCGATGGCCACCAATTCTCTTCAATCTTTGAACTACCGCCACCACACTCCGCCAATTGGCCGGCGGCAGTCACTAGAATGTCCACCGCTTCTATCATTTAATATCAAATCAAACAATACTAATAATCCTACACTCTCTATTTCATCCGCCGTAAAAACCTTCTCTATGTCGTCCACAACGTCCACTTCCTCCACCACCGCCGCCCAATCAACCTCCTTTGACCTCCTCAAAAGTCTCCTCGCCGCCAACGATTTCCGAGAAGCCGACAACGAAACCCGGCGTCTCCTCATCGCTCTCGCCGGCGAAGCAGCACAGAAACGCGGGTATGTTTTCTTCTCCGAAGTACAATTCATAGCAGAATCAGATCTGAAAACAATAGACGAACTATGGAGGAATCACAGCAACAATAAATTCGGGTACAGCGTCCAGAAACGATTGTGGGAGAAATCAAACAGAGATTTCACAACATTGTTTATAAAACTTGGGTGGATGAAGAAACTCGACACTGAAGTCTTACAATACAACTACAGAGCTTTCCCAGATGAATTCATTTGGGAATTGACTGAGGAAACACCAGAAGGCCATCTGCCATTGACGAATGCACTAAGAGGGACACAGTTGTTCAGCTACATTCTAACTCACCCTGCATTTGCAGAAGAAGAAAGCGCCATTGAAGAAGAAGAGGAGAAGAAGGAAGAAGAAAGAGATAAGGGAGGGTTGTCAAAACCACAGCCACTTGGCAAAGGAGTGTTCAAGCCTGATTATAGTTTTTAATGGAAAAAGTAAAATATGGTTTGTAATATTTGTCCAAATGCACGGACACTGACAAATATTTATATCAAAATATCTACCTTTGTGATTCTCTCTCGTATTATTTGTTTTTACAGCTTGTACATTTATTGAATTTATATTAAGGGGTTTATATAAATCTTTATGAAATTTTAGTTATAATTAGAATGTAATTATATAATGTTTTAATTTACTTTTTTTTACGCAAATGAAAAAAATAATAATACTAAAAGATGGTTACATAAGTATTTCAGTTGACTATATGTAGCTACGTACTATAGATAAATCAAAAGAAAAATCATCAACTTTTAGGTAATGTAACCGTTTTAAGCAGAGGTGAGCATTGAAAAGAGTACTTGTTTTTGGAATCAGAACCTTTTTGAAACTGTCGTTTCAAAAACCAGAATCGATGGCACTGTTTCTGGTTCCGGTTCCTAAAAATAGGAATGTAACATCCGTTTTCAGGTATTAATCTTTTGGCATTTAAATTATTTAAGTTGTGATTTTGACTGGCCACGAACATGATTTTGACTGGCCACGAACAGTGATGGGGACACATCGTTATGCGGTCACATTATTGAAGTGGCAGCATGGTTAAAGCTTAGCAACAGCGTAGTGAGCTTGATATACAAAACACTAAAAGCCTCGGGATTTGGGCATATTTAATGCACACTTCAGTATGGTTTCAACTCACTCATCAGCCTCCACTCCAAAGAACATTGTCCTCATAACCCTAGCCTCAATTTTGACATTGTGTGTATTTTGCGCTCTCTTTCCTGAAGATCCAAGAGGAAAAAGCTTAAAGCAAGGTGTTGGTGTGAGATTTATTGGTGTTCCAGCAAAGCAATCATCTTTTGTACCGAACATTAGATACTTTTTATAATCCATCAATGGACTTCTCAAGCCTATATATATTTCACAACTCATCTTGATTTACATATATGTGTGAACCTGTCCATGCTTGTCATCTTTTGAAGATCTACAAACACTCTATGGTTTTAACACCGAGTGTTGGATCAATTCAAATTTCTAACATAGACTGAATCTCATTTCTCATAGCTTCCTCCATTGTGGCTTATGGGGTCTTCCATAACTTCCGATAGCCAATAGACTCTGGTCGCAATCTATTAGTGACTCATTTCCCATTTGAAATGGAGTGAACGAGATCAATGATGTCTTCTATTAGATCTATATGGAAGAGGTAGAGGAACGTCATTTTACTTAATAGGTTTTAACCTCTATTTAAGTGTCAATGTTTTTCTTTAGGCTCTTTGTTAATTGATTCTTTAGTCTTATCAAGATCAATGTAACTCCTACTAGTTCGTTTAGATATCAACTCTCTCTTTTGGAAGACTGCCCTTAGAGCAGCAAATGATTTCTTCTTATAGGGATTCCAAAAACATAATTGAAAATCCACTAACCTATTTTAAAGATAGTTTGATAAGCTTTATTAGGTTTTACAAGACCAATGACTCTTGTAACACTCATTCATGGTACAATCCATGAACAATTTGTAAGCACAGTACGTGTGACAACCCGAAATTCCTATTTGTACAAACCCTTCAGTCAAGCGCTACAAATAATAGTCAAATACATTTCTGTTAATTTTTAGCCGGTTTAAAGTTCGTTTGGGTGTTTTTGTTTTAAATTCGTCAAACGAACAAATAAAAGGAAGTATCTTCTAGGAATAATGTGTAACAAATAAACATTTAACACCATAACAAGGTGTTTACGGCCAAACTTGGGGAGTTTGGGCCGTAAAATCCTCTTGGCCGTGAACTCATGCTAAAGGCATGAGTTTACTCTTCATTTCCTCACTTCTCACTTCCAAGCTCAAGAACACCCAACTTTCTCTCTCAAGTATCATAACATAGTTCTTCCAATCTTCCAAAAATATAAGTGTTTCTTCTCTTGATTTGTTGTTATAACACTTCATCCACACTTCTCTAGTAGTTATACATGATTTCATCCATGAAATCTTGTCTTTTTCATAGATCTTCAAGTGTTCTTCAAAACACCAAGAACACCAAGAACACACACTAGTGTTCTTGGACCTTAAACACTCTTACAAGCTTCCTATAAGTAAGTACACTCCTCCTAACTAGTTATTTACTTAGAACACTTGTTAAACCATGGAAAAACACCAAGAATCCCCAAGAACACATGGGTTTACGGCCAAGGCAAGCTCCTTGGACCGTAAACACCATAAGGTGGTGCATATGTGCCACCATTACCTTCTAGGGCTTGGATAATGGACTAGAACCTTGCATGCATGAGCTAAAGACCTTAAACCACGAAATGGTAGGAGTTACCATGGGTTTACGGCCGTAAACCCACTTGGACCGTAAACCCAAAACCGTAAACTCCATGGGAGTTGGTCCATGAACCGTAAACGCTAATAAGGGGGGCATATGAGCCCTAGTCCCTTCCTTAGCCTTGGATACTAGTCTAGATCACTTCCTTGAAGTGTTTAAGAACTTTTAGCACACAATGGTACTAACTACCATGAGTTTACGGCCGTATACTCATGGGGGAAATGACCCTAAACCGTAAACTCATATGGTGTTACCATATGGACAGTAAACTCCAATGTGATGCCATACTCTCTTTAGATACAACCCCTTGATACTCCTAGCACTTGAAGCAAAGTGTTATTCATGTTTTAGGGTGTCCTTACTTGATTAATTAGTTGTTAAATGACTAATTAGATACATATATGTGTCATTACATGTTAAATAGGATCCGTGTGTGTGTTCAAGTCTTCACTTGACACTTAGCATCCTATCCGGCACTTCCATCCAAACCACTCACTGCAGGTGAGTTCATACCCCTTAATAAACCTTTTAAATGATTTTAAATGCTTTTATGGGGGGGAATACAAGTTGAAATATTGTAGTTGTTGCTTTAATCACATGTGATTAATAACTAGAACAAACAGAAAGATTTACTACTACTTTCAAGTTACTATCAAATTTATGGTTTTCAAGTGTTTCAAAACCTTTTATTAAACTTTTAGATACTAAAAATATTTCCAAACTCTTTTATACTTACATTGTTTCCAAACTCATATCTACACTAATATATTTATATAAGTAAGACTTGAAGGACTTAGCTCACCTTATTTCCTGTTCCTTGTTTGGTTGTGGACTTAGGGCATCCTGTTATTTGTCCGAATGTCGTTGAACTCTTAGTTATATATCATATATATATATATATATATATATATATATATATATATATATATATATATATATATATATGTGTGTGTGTGTGTTGGAGATAAAAGCTTTCTCTTCAGTTCAATGCCTTTGTGTAACAAAGGCATACAAACCACATTACTATTTAACTATAATAGGTATAGTGAAGGGATTACTACTCGCTACTACTATTACAAAGATACATACAAGAGTCAGTACATTTACGAGTTGCTACATGAGTACTACAGTGAGAAACAATACATACTATACACTATACAAGAGAACATACGATACACTATAAAAGAACATACTATATACTAGTAAAGATAAAACATCACTACACTATGACATACTATACAACCTTTTGAATACTATAAACCGAATGTGACATACTACTTCTCGATACGACACTTCTTCGTAGTATCACTTTGTAACCAGAGTCTCCTGGAGGGAGAGCGGGCATTGTGTGTATAGATCTATACGGGACAGACACTCCCACATCCCGACTGCTAGCTACAGTCCCAGCCGAAAGGCCAAGGGGTGACAGAATGTTACCTCACTATATATGACCTGGAGGGTCATCAGTTATTCAGCTGTCAATCAGCATGGTTACATACGAGTTCACATTTAAACCTTTAATTAACCAATTAAGAATTAAAGGTAAAATGGACTTCCCGAGGTGTATTGTACATTTAATACTACTTGGAGTCTGCATTTTCATCACTATTAGTCAGCAGTGATACTGCTGGGGTGAAACATTAATTTCCCCTATTACATTTATTTTGTAAATCACCTTACATGAGTGAAGTCTAAAACTATATTTTCATACTGATAGTTTCACTGGAGAAAACTTTTACATTTACGAAAGAACAAACATACAAACAATCGGGTCTTGGTAGAAGACTACATTTTACTGGAAAATATAGGATTTTCTAGGGAGTATACTATTTACAAACATTTGAAATCAGTTACTACGTTACATTGTTACAAACATTTTTATACAAGCAATGACACTAAATACTTATGAACTCACCAGCTTTATGCTGATAAACTCTTTCAAAATAACTTGTATTCTCAGGTCATCAGTAGACAGGTACGATGAAGCTTTTGAGAAGATGGAGCACATACAAGACTCATCTTTTATTTTGATTATACTTTTGGTGTCTTACAAACTATACAGAACACGCTTGTATTACAATTATTATATTAATGCAATGGATGTTGTTGGTTGTCTTTACTATTATGCACTGTTATGATACTGTACATGACATCCTCCACCCCAGAACGTTTCTGCCGTTCTGGTTTTGGGGTGTGACAGTACGAATCATCAGTTACAAATCAAACAATGATTTTATTTCTATCTACCTATATTGCTTATGGCAATATTTTGTTTTGAGTTATGAAACTATTTCGCTATTCCATGAGATGATCATTAACCTTTTGATCAGGATTCTCAATATCCTATTAGATATGAGTTTCTTATCACTTTTCCCAGTTGAGTTTGAACTTCGTTTTGTTACCAATCTGAACGAACAATTAGCATGAACTAATTCCAATAGATAATAGCATTACGAAGTGATATGTTTATCATTTATCTTGATACTATGATATATGTATTAGTCAAAAGACTTGTGGTCTAATGACTTCCAAAATTCTGTCCAATTGAATGTTTAGTGATGCACTTCTAATTCAAATATTTAAAGACAATGATCTAAACATGTAGGATCAACATGCATCGTGGTTAATCTAAACGTGTGAGATCTTGGAATTTTGGTCTAAAACTGTAGA